TATACCCAGACAACAGAGCGGGCACAGTGATACTATTTGCAGGGAGCTCACACACTGCCACTATATCCAGGAATCAGAGTTCAGCAGGCAGTTTTCTTTCCTCCAGGGAGCGGACACACTGCCAATATACCCAGGGATTGGCGTACAGCAGGAACACTGATACTACCTCCACTGACTAGGCAAGCTGGCACTATCCCCAGGGACTGGAGTGTAATCAGCACACTGGAAGGATGAAGAGTGATGTGTGTGTATGTTGCCCCTTATTACATATCAGAGATTAGATGATTCAAAGATGGAGGGTGATGGAGATGTTGGGGATGAAATCTGACTAAATCACGGATAGGTGGAATGATCATAAATGTGTCACTTTGGAATTATTTGCCATCTGTGTGATAACCACCCATGGCATCAATAGGGCTTGTTCATATGGGTTTCAGTTGTCACAAGACTGGTGTGTACAGCAGACGTGTGTCTGAATTTCATTTTGCAACAAACTGAACCAAAGTTTTCATCATTTGGAGGTTTGGATGTATTTGAATTTCCAAATTACAGTAGTAACATATTTAAACAAATCTGAAATAACAAAGCAAACATTCATCTGAAATTCAAATTGAATTTGAATCGAATTCTAAAACAAATTTGAAATAGAAACATATTGCTGATTTTCTTTAAATACCATGTGTATTGGTGTTAGAATATAGCCATCTTCTGAAATTCACGTTTTGAAAAGAACAGAATAAAACAGAAAAGCATAGAAAATAAAGGAATAAAATAATAGAAAATATATATATATATAATCTCACAGCAGTGAGTGCCCCCCTCACATTTTTGTAAATATTTGATTCTATCTTTTCATGTGACAACACTGAAGAAATGACACTTTGCTACAATGTGACGTAGTCAGTGTACAGCTTGTATAACATATAAATTTGCTGTCCCCTCAAAATAACTCAACACACCGCCATTAATGTCTAAACCGCTGGCAACAAAAGTAAGTCCACCCCTAAGTGAAAATGTCCAAATTGGGCTCAAAGTGTCAATATTTTGTGTGGCCGCCATTGTTTTCCAGCACTGCCTTAACCCTCTTGGGCATGGAGTTCACCAGAGCTTCACAGGTTGTCACTGGAATCCTCTTCCACTCCTCCATGATAACATCACGGAGCTGGTGGATGTTAGAGATCTTGCGCTCCTCCACCTTCTGTTTGAGGATGTCCCACAGATGCTCAATAGGGTTTAGATCTGGAGACATGCTTGGCCAGCTCATCACCTTTACCCTCAGCTTCTTTAGCAAGGCAGTGGTGGTCTTGGAGGTGTGTTTGGGGTCGTTATCATGTTGGAATACTGCCATGCGGCCCAGTCTCTGAAGGGAGGGGATCATGCTCTGCTTCAGTATGTCACAGTACATGTTGGCATTCATGGTTCCCTCAATGAACTGTAGGTCCCCAGTGCCGGCAACACTCATGCAGCCCCAGACCATGACACTCCCACCACCATGCTTGACTGTAGGCAAGACACGCTTGTCTTTGTACTCCTCACCTGGTTGCCACCACACACGCTTGACACCATCTGAACCGAATCAGTATATCTTGGTGTCATCAGACCAGAGGACATGGTTCCAGCAATTCATGTACTTAGTCTGCTTGTCTTCAGCAAACTGTTTGTGGGCTTTCTTGTGCATCATCTTTAGAAGAGGCTTCCTTCTGGGACGACAGCCGTGCAGACCAATTTGATGCAGTGTGCGGCGTATGGTCTGAGCACTGATAGGCTGACCCCCACCCCTTCAATCTCTGCAATGCTGACAGCACTCATACGCCTATTTCTCAATGACAACCTCTGGATATGACTCTGAGCACATGCCCACAACTTTGGTGGACCATGGCGAGGTCTGTTCTGAGTGGAACCTGTCCTGCTAAACTGTTGTATGGCCTTGGCCACCATGCTGCAGCTCAGTTTCAGGGTCTTGGCAATCTTCTTATAGCCTAGGCCATCTTTATGTAGAGCAACATGTTTTTTTTTTTTTTTTTCTTCAGATCCTCAGAGTTCTTTGCCATGAGGTGCCATGTTGGACTTCCAGTGACCATTATTAGAGAGTGAGAGTGATAACACCAAATGTAACACACCTGCTCCCCATTCACATCTGAGACATTGTAACACTAATGAGTCACATGACACCAGGAAGGGAAAATGGCTAATTGGGCCCAATTTGGACCTTGTCACTTAGGGGTGTACTCACTTTTGTTGCCAGTGGCTTAGACATTAATGGCTGTGTGTTGAGTTATTTTGAGGGGACAGCAAATTTCCATGTTATACAAGCTGCACACTGACTACATCACATTGTAGCAAAGTGTCATTTCTTCAGTGTTGTCACATGAAAAGATAAAATATTTACAAAAATGTGAGAGGTGGATTCACTTCTGGGATATACTGTATATATAATGATATATATATTTAGTAAAGCATAGAATAGAAAATAAAAGAATAAAGTAAAACAGAAAAGAAAATAACAGACTAAAATAGAATATAGTTGTCTTCCGAAATTCGAAATAACTTTGTGTCCCCTATGTGATGGCAGGGGGGAGTTTCGGGACAAAAAAAAAAAAAAGTTTAAAAAAAAAATTATTACACCCAAGCACATTAAATCCCCCCCCCCAAAAAAAAACAAAACATTTTTTAAGGCCCCCCCAACACATACGCATGTACAAACATAAACGCATTTGTTGGGGGTCCCTACGCATGAAAACTTTGATTGCGCACATGAGTGAGCAATAATTCCAGCACCAGACCTCCTTTGTATAGGCAGCTTATGAAGTGTTGCCTATAGAGAATATAAGGTACTGAAGTTTGTCACCATTTTCAGGGGCATGTACTAATTTAAGGTTTGACACGTTGGGTATCTATTTACTCGACTCAACCTCGTCTTTTATATTTTACCAAACATTTTGGTCATTTATAGGATTTGATTGCCCTATAATACACTTTAGTCTGACTTTTACTGAAATTTTGAATTTCCTAGACCTTTGCAGTAATATTGTGTGACATAAAAAATTGGAATTATCAATAGTTTATTCTCTAGGATGTCTGCTTTCAGAAAATATATCAAGTTTGAGAGTTTTGTGTAATATTTAGGCCTGAAATAATGTTTTTAAATGTGTGCCAAAAATGCCAAAACACGGCTCTAGCAGTGAAAAGGCTCATTAAATCTCAATCAAGTCTCATGGGACTAGCAGTCGATGCCTTAGATCTCACACTGCAGATATACAGCTCCGGGGCACGCCAGAAATTTAAATTGGTTGTGAATGCATTTGTTCATTGAAGAATTTAATTTTGTCGTATTCATTCTGTTGTCTTGAATTGTTTTCAGAATTTGTTTGTATCTTTTGGTATTCATTTCATATATTTGTTGGTCTGGGTGGACTCAAAAAAAACTTTGCAGAAGATTACTATATATTATCAAATAGGACGAATTCAATATTTCCGGGCACTAGTCCAACTTACTAAGAGACATGGCATGAGCTGATTGGACAAGATCGACTGGCGTCATGTGCATCCGAATAAATGATTGGAATGAAATTTAGATTAATTCATTATCCGAATCCAAATTATATATAAAAAAATTGAAAACTGAATTAGTTTCCCAATGGCGGCGAAACTACTATTGCATCATGTGACATCATCCGAATGAAATAAATGCTTTTGTTAATTCTGTTATAACTTCTTTCGGAATCATTGACTTTTTTTTTATGATGTCCATTCTGAGATTCATATACATCCCAATCTCCAAAAATGAAATTCTCACCCAAAAAAAAAAAACAATCAGAATAAAATATCTACCAGGAAGTGCACTGCTATTTTTCAGGAATCATTCAGACAAAAGGTAGATTTTTCAGAGCACTGTTTAGGCACAATTTCTAGGTGTTCCCTATAAGGAGAGGTTCACATCTATGCAAGGTGCGGTTGATGCATTTGCCAGGTTTTTTTTTGTTAGTTTTTTGGGGGGGGGTTTTGTGGGGGGGGAGGTGATTTATAGGAAAGTATGACAGTTTAGTTCATCTAGTGTGACTTTGATGTGACCAGTAGCATCAATGTAGTGCAAGAACTTTTATGTGTCCAAAGTTGCATTTTTTTTTTTTTTTTTTTCTTTGGCTTTATAGGAAAGTATGACCGTTCTGTCATGTAGTGTGACATTGATGCTACTTGAGTGCCAGATATTGTAAAGTCGCATTACATGAAGAGAACTGTCATACTTATTATTAATATTATTATTTTTTATTTATTTCAGGTACTTATATAGCGCCGTCAATTTACACAGCACTTTACATATATATTGTACATTCACATCAGTCCCTAACCCTCAAGGGGCGTACAATCTAAGGTCCCTAACTCAGTCATTCACACACATACTAGGGACAATTTAGACAGCAGACAATTAACTTACCAGCATGTCTTTGTAGTGTGGGAGGAAACCGGAGTACCAGGAGGAAACCCATGCAGGCACAGGGAGAACATGCAAACTCCAGGCAGGTGGTGCCATGGTTGGGATTCGAACCAGCGACCCTAGTACTGCCAGGCGGCTAACCATTTAGCCACTGTGCTGCCCTATTCCCATTCGCTAAAAAAAAAAAAAAACTTGTGTTTTTTGTGCGGGTCTATTGAAGTCTATTACATGCAAAATGTAATCTGCTGCAGGGAAAAAATGTTCCTGGGCCCTTGCCAAAAAAAATGCTCAAAATGCACAGATGTGAACTAGATCCATTGGAAGCCATGTTAAATGGACTGTTGTGGGTTCCTGTAAAATGCAAAACATAGTAAAAAAAAAAACGCATAGGTGTGAACCAAGGCTAAACTCGCTTCTTGATTTCAGGTCCGCAATCGCTTTTGCACAGCCTCGCTGCACCCATTGCTGAAGGCCTTACAGTAACTGTGTGATACGCAGGCTGCTCAGAAGTCATGTGATCTCTGTGACTCTGGTAATAAGAAGATTTGGCTTTTTTTTTCGGCAGGTCCAGAACACGAATGATTTCAGCACCGTCAGTAAAGTGTCGGCGGCAGCGATGGGCTATTTTGCTGATGAATTCCAGAAATATTTTGTAAGCCGAACGAGCAGAAGATCCCCGCTTATCCACAGGTGAGACGATGAACAATGTACTGGGGAAGGGCGGGCGCTGTCAGCAAAGCGGCATACGGGTAGCTGCCTATGTACGGGTTTTGGGCACACACCCCCCCTTGCTGGCACCTGCAGTAATTGAACACAGAAAATGCCTGTTAGCAAGTCCCAGGCAATGATTCAGGGGCGGGATCCTGCCCATCAGCTATGTCCAATCACAGCCCAGAGCTTTGTATTGGTAAACAACACAGAGCTCTGTATAGAGGGAGCAATCCGTCAGTTTCTCATCCCTGCAAAGTAAATGTAAAACTGAGAGATCTGTTAGTAAAAGCAGCACACATTACACACATTGCACAAAGTTAGGCACATATTTAACCCCTTGATTGCCCTAGATGTTAACCCCTTCCCAGTCAGTGTCATTAGTAAAGTGACAGTGCCTAGTATTATCACCGATCACTGTATTAACCGCTTCCAGACCACCCTATAGTAGAAATCCTGCTACAGGGCGGCACAGGTGCGCAAAATCATGTGTGTATATATACATGAGTTTTCATTTCCAGGTAGGGAGTGCGCGTGCGCCCTACCCGCGCCACCATTTGCGGCTGTCAATCATGATTTGTGGAGCAAGCAGATATTCTGATAGATCTGCAGATGACTTGCATGGCATCAGCAGTCTACTGTTTGCTGGTGAAATGCTTTACAGGCTCCTTTTGGACAAAAATATTTTTTACCTGCAAAGAAATGCATTTATTATTTTTGTCCAAAAGGTGAACTTATCCTTTAATGAATAAAATTAATTCTCTGATTGGATGTATATAATTACGGTATCAACCTAAATAATAAATATACCCTATAGCATAAAGTCACCCCTTCACCCTTGAAAGTGTATATATATATATATATATATCTTTCTCTAATATGCTACCTTTAACATACAAACTCCCAAAATGTGAAAAGTAATAAATATAAGATCACAAAATGTCCAAAATAAAGCAATAGTGTCCAAAATAAAGTCAATATACAAAAATCACGCACTTTTGTCCTCAAATATGTAGATGATGAGTTTCTGAGCTATCTGGGGCAGTGTGTAAGGGTATCTTGGCTGAGGGAAGCTGATATAGGAGCCGCCATATCTGCTATACATGTGCTACGAAGTACGAAACATTACTGGCAATATTCCCCACTTTAACATGGCGACTATGGTCTTGGCGCCATGTAGAGGAGGGGTATAAGTAGGACCATCCTGTCTGACGAACGCATCCCTTATGATGAAGTCCGACGAAACGCGTCAAGGGAAGTGATGTCAGACACACACGGCAGAACCGGAAGTGGCACAGCAGCCATTTTTGAAATTGGCAAAATCCTTACCAAATACTCATGGATGTTGCCTGGACTACATAGAGGTTTGGTTTATGGAAACATGGCGTTTTTAAAGCTGTTGTGATGTAAGCACAGTATTAAAGTATATTTTAAAGGTGTTTTGTGGTATTACACTATATCCTTCTTTATATGTTGTGTACATCGGTGGAGCTTGTTATCAGGAGGAGTGTGGAGTATTCAGGCTCAACTAACTCAGATGACATCAAGGAGTTACATTTATAAGGCTGTGATGACATCTTAAAGATCTTTTCTCAGGAGGGCGATCTTTGGAATTATATCATACCCTGGTGGTATTAAGGCATGATTCTTATTTTATTTCGGTAAGGGTATTCATTCCTTAGAAGTATACACTGATACTGACACTTGCTGTTTGCAGTTTTCTTTTGCACTGAGAGTGATCGCTGTCACGGTTGATACACAAGTTCACTTTTCACTGATAGTGGTCACGTGTGATTTTCACACTCTATTATATTTTTACACAGTGTATTATTTATGTATTGTTTTGTTAAGGATAACGCACTACGTACATTTTTTCCTTTTTTGTTTTTTTTTTTTTTGTTTTTTGAGGTTTACATTGTTCGTGGGAGCCATTTGGAAGGCTCAGGCACCTGGATTTATTTTGGAATCACCATTATATGATTTTTTTGAGGACACAAGTGCGTGATTTTTGTATATTGACTTTATTTTGGACACTATTGCTTTATTTTGGATATTTTGTGATATTTTATTTATTACTTTTCACATTTCGGGAGTTTGTATGTTAACCACTTCCATACCGGGCACTTTACCATCTTTTGGCCCAGGCCATTTTTCAGGTTTCAGCGCTCTCACACTGAATGACAATTGCGCGGTCATACAACATTGTACCCAAACTAAAATTTTATCATTTTCTTCACACAACTAGAACATTCTTTTGGTGGTATTTAATCACCACTGGGATTTTTATTTTTTGCTAAATTAACAAAAAAATACTGAAATAAAAAAAAAAAGTTTTTTTTTGTTTCTGTTATAAAAGTTTGCAAATAAATAATTGTTCTTCATAAATTTAGGCTGAGATGTATTCTGCTACATGTCTTTGGTGAAAATAACCCAAATTAGGATGTATTATTTAGTCTGTAGGAAAGTTATAGAGTTCACAAACTATGGTATAGATCTGAGTATTGATCAATCCTGAAGTACTGACAGCCAATCTAAGTTCTTGAGGTCCAAGAATGTCAGAACAGTACAGATATCCCCCAAATGTCAGGACAGTACAGATATCCCCCAAATGTCAGGACGGTACAGATATCCCCCAAATGTCAGAACAGTACAGATATCCCCCAAATGTCAGGATGGTACAGATATCCCCCAAATGTCAGGACGGTACAGATATCCCCCAAATGTCAGGACGATACAGATATCCCCCAAATGTCAGGACGGTACAGATATCCCTCAAATGTCAGGACGATACAGATATCCCCCAAATGTCAGGACGGTACAGATATCCCCCAAATGTCAGGACGATACAGATATCCCCCAAATGTCAGGACGATACAGATATCCCCCAAATGTCAGGACGATACAGATATCCCCCAAATGTCAGGACAGTACAGATATCCCCCCAAATGTCAGGACAGTACAGATATCCCCCCAAATGTCAGGACAGTACAGATATCCCCCCAAATGTCAGGACAGTACAGATATCCCCCAAATGTCAGGACGGTACAGATATCCCCCAAATGTCAGGACAGGACAGATATCCCCCAAATGACCCCCTTTTGCAAAGTAGACAGTCCGACGTACTTCATAAGTGGCATGGTGAGTTTTTTGAAGTTGTATCTTTTTGTCATTTATTGGAAAATTAAAAAAAATTATTTTCACTATTTTTTTTTTTTTACATACTTTCACCAGTGCAGTACAGTGTCATCATATATAACTGATATGGTGGTGATCAGGGACACTGGTGACAGTATTAAAAATATATATATATAAAAAAAATTTAAATTTTTTTATTTGAATTTTTATTTTTATTTTTTTTCTTCATATTTTACTATGACCAAAGTAGTACAATGTTACCATAGTAACATTGTACTACTTTGGGGAAGTGATCAGTATTTTTTTTTTTTTACACAATTTGCTTATAGCAAAGAATTACTTTGCTATAAGCAAGCATTTTACCTGAATGACATCAATTCATTCAGGTTTTTTTTTGGCCACGGCTAATCACATGACACAGCTGGGCTGTGATTGGCCAAGCCTGTGCATGTGATCGCTGTGACCATTCACAGCTAGACACACTAGTATACAATGGATGGCATGAATTAAGCCATCCATTGTATACAACTGTCATGTGACCTGCTGTGATTGGTCACATGGTACTAGCAACGGGGTCGGTACTCAGATCTGTCATTGGCCGTGTCCAAGGTACACGGCCGGTGACAGATCACGCAGCTCTGCAGGCGCGCAAACTGCACATGCCCGAAAGGACGCCATATGGCATCCACCCGGAAAGGTGAGGGTTTTTGTCGGCTGCCATTCGGCCATAGGCCGGGCGGGAAGTGGTTAAAGGTAGCATATTAGATAATTCTCTGATTGGATGAGGTGGAGAGGTGATATCACAATCTCCTCATCCAGTTAAAGACTGCCTTGTATTAATTTAAAAAAAAAAAATTACAATGGGGTTGATTTATTAAAACTGGAGAGTACACAATCTGGTGCATGTGCGCATGGCAGCCAATCTGCTTCTAACTTCAGCTTGTTCAATTAAAGTGGAACTTCACTCTCTCAATCAAATAATAGCAAAAATCATATCATATGTGCTTGTTTTAACCTTTTTTGTTTTTTTTTTTTTTTTTTTCCCTTTTATCTCTTAATTGACTTCCTGGTTGCCATGCCTAGGCAAATGATGTCATAGATTTCAGGAGGGGAGGGATGGTTTTCAGCTCAGCCAATGCCTGAGCTAAGTGCAGATGGATTTCAGGTAGCAACCGCTACATGAATCCTATGCCTTTACTCAATGGCCAGACATGCCAGGTAGTGTTTTTCAAAATAAATTCTTAGCAAAATAAATCATGGAGACACGGATGGATGAAGGAGTTTGCTTTGAATATTAAAAATGAATTCCGTAGCATTTTTGGTTTTTGGATGCAGTGCAGTTCCACTTTAGCTTTGACAAAAACCCTGGAAGCTGATTGGTTTCTATGCAGAGCTGCACCAGATTTTGCACTGATCAGGTTTAGTAAATCAAATCCAATGTGTTCTTCACACATTGATCAGATGTGCATACTTATATTGTGCCAAGCTGAACCAATGTGACTCTGTCATACAGATGATACCTGGAGTTCAGCTTTAAAAGCTTTCAGGATTCCATAGGAATCAGCATAAGGGCCAGTTCTAACTCCATGCGTTTCAGTTGCTTTTTTTTTTCTGCATCCAAAACGCACAGAAAGTAGGTTATACGGTTGTCAATGTCATAGTTCACATCAGTGCGTTCCGGTTGCAGAAAAAAAAAAGTAAAACATGCTGCATTTTTTTCTGCACAGAACTGCACTGGAACAAGGTAAAACGCACTGGGACGCACCAAAAGCTCACTAGAACACGCGTCCCTATTTATATTGAAAAAAAGAGAGGAAAAAACACACTGGAATGCATGAAAAACACACTGGAACGTGTCAAAACTTCATCAAAAACGCACCGGAATGCACCAAAAACGCATCCGGAACACATCTGGACTGTGTTTCTATAGTGTGAACTGGCCCTAATACATGTATAAAATGAAAGGGGGGGGCTTGGTAAACATGAAATGGTGTATACTATAATACACAGTACTCTAGAGGGCACAAAAGCCTATCACCATTGTCTGTGTCACTTCTCACGGACTTATTGCAAATGCTTCCCAGCATCCTGGAAAATCTGAGCGATTGCTTCAATCGCTCAATGTGCAAAACTGGACTGGGAGGGGCTCTGTAACTTCCACCTACAGGTTGATGGAGATCTAATAATAAAATGGAGTGATGGGCAGATGTCACCTTTTATCCCAACCCTATGACCAATTGCTGCTGTGAATTGTGTACGTGTGCTGAGAATCTGGAAATGTAACTGAACTGGCGGCCTTGTTGGTATGGGGGGATTGGGATTGGCTGGTTCCGTTCAAACACTATAATCTGCTGTTTCCCTTTTTGTCCTGCAGGGGGTACTGTGTTCGCTCGCAGGCCGTCGGTCATTGTATCAAGGAGTTTCTCCGAGACACCGAGGATTGTACACACAGACAGGTGAGTGATCTGCGAGGGAAACGTCTGCCCGAAGCACAAGAAGTCTTCGTATAGTCATCATTTTTTATTCAGTCCGGAACTAAATTCTTCCACAATATCTATATTTGTGTTCTATGGTATTTCATACACATAATCAAGTAAATATTTAAAGCTGGTCTCCAGGCTGATAGAAAATAAACAAATGAATTCAGTGCTGTAATAATTCATCATTAAATGTATTTTTTAAAGTAAGTACCTGATATCCCACAAGAAGTACAAATCAGTTCATGTGCTGATTAGGAGCATGCTGATAGGAGGGGGGAGCAAAGTGATAGAAAGGGTCACCACTGAAGGAGCCGTATGCCCCTTTCCATCCTCCCTCTCCCCCCCCCCCTTCTTGTTAGGCCTCAATTGCCATTTGATAGTCACCTATGTTAGTGATGCCTGACCTTGTATTGTTGGGTATCTTTACTGTGCAATTACTGTACACCTGCAATGACCCATATTCTTACTATTTTGTATTGTTTCATGTTAAAACAATAAAATATTTGAACAAAAAAAAAACTTAAAAATAATAAAAAAAATTTAAGAAAAATTTTATTTTTATATATATATATATATATATATATATATATATATATATATATATATATATATATATATATATATATATATATATATATATATATATATATAATTTTTTTTTTTTTTTTTTTTTTTTTTTTACACTGTCACTAGTCAGTGTCCCTGATCACCGCCATGCCAGTTATATGATGATTCTGTACTGCACTGGTGACAGTATGTAAAAAAAAAAAAAAAACAGCAAAAATAATTTTTTTTTAATTTTTTCTTTTTCTGAAAAATTATGACAAAAAAATACAACTTCAAAAAACTTGCCATGCCTCTTATGAAGTTGATTTTTGAGATGCAGTTGTAATGTAACTTGGGGCAGAGTTGTGTGCAGGTTTGTAGATTGTAGTTCGTATCTTGAATTCTATTCATTGGGCAAGGGGAAGCCAGTAGAGTGATTGGCTTGGAGGATTATCAGACAGTGAACAGATGGTAAGGTTTGGATGCAGCATTTATGATGGAATGAAGGGAGGATAGCCTGTGTAGAGGTAGGCCAACGAGAATGGGGTAACTTGATGGTGTCATTGATTAAAAAGGGGAGAATTTGGAGATGTTAAAAAGGTGAAGGTGCAAGATTTGGACAATGATTGGATGTGAGGGTGAAAAGGTAGGTCAGAGTCGAAGATTACACCTAACATCCTGGCATTAAGGGTTACGAATTTAATGCGTTCTCGGGGACGCTTCGTATTGTGAAAAATTTGTGGTTTCCCATAGGAATGCATTGAAAACCAATTAATCTGCTCCGGAGATCAGAAAAAAGTAAAAAAAAAAAAAGGAATTTATCTGTTCAAAACTCTTTATAGAGTGCACTTTAAAGGCATAAATACTATACAGGGACATGATTAAAAATGTCCAGAATGGCTCCAAAACTTGATGCAAAAACGGCTCCAACACCTCCACACTCGACGCCACGTGCTACCCACAGACTCCAGCATGCATGGGGCCGGCGCTATAAACCTCCCAGGAGCAATGCATCCTGGGGAAACTTGCTTCGTATTGCAAAAAACATTTGTAAATGCATTGAAAACCAATTAATCCATTACGGAGGTCAGAAAAAAGTAAAAAAAAGTCTTATCTGTTCAAAACTGTTTATAAAGTGCACTTTAACCACTTCCCAACCGGCCGTTCTATATAAATGGTTGGACGGTGGCAGTGCAGGGTCAGGTAGCCGTTTATAAACAGCCTCCCCGCACCCTGCTTGTGCGCTCTCCCTGGGAGCGCACAGCACCACGATCCTGTGCCCGCTGTGTCCTCTGGACACAGTAGAACACCGATCATTGGACGGGATCTCTGTGTGAGGTCCCGATCATGTGATCACTGATTGGCCAATCAGTGATCACATGCAAAGTAGTAAGCAATGATGTCACTTGTGACATCATTGCTTACTACGTGTGAAATTGGTAAATGATCACAGAGGTCACATGGTACAAGGCTATTCACAACAGCCTTGTACCATGTGACAAGCTGTGACCAATCACAGCTCACTCAGTACTTCTCAATGACTGCAAGAATGCAGACAGAAGGAGAAATGATTGCTTTTACATCCTATATGGGTGTAAAAGCAATCAGTGTTAAAAAAAAAAAAATCATCACCCCCCACAAGTAGTACAGTGTCACCATGGTGACACTGGTGACACTGTACTGCTAGGGTGACAGTATGTAAAAAAAAAAAAAAAAAAAAATGAATATAAAAAAATAAACATGTAAAAGAAATGTTTAAAAATTATAATTTTTGGTTCTAAACTACTTTGGATTTTTTTTTTTTACTAAAAAGATAACGGAATACATTTTGGCCAAGATTTATGATGAAATACTATTTATTTGCAAAATATTATTTAAAAAAAAACTTTTTTTCAAAATTTTTGGACATTTTCATTAACATAGCAAAAAAAAAAAAAATACCAGGGGTGAATAAATACCACCAAAATAAAGCTTTATCTGTCTCAAAAAAATGGTAAAAAAATTCATATGGGTACAGTGTTGCATGACCGCACAATTGTCATTCAAAGTGTGATAGCGCTGAAAGCTGAAAATTGGCCTGGACAGGAAGGGGGTATAAAAGTGTCCGGACTTGAAGTGGTTAAAGGCACGGGGCCGGCGCTATAAACCTCTCAGGTGCAATGTGTCCTGGGGAAACTTACTTCGTATTGTGAAAAAAATTTGTAAACCGAGCCATTATTTTCAATGGATTTTCATTTGTAAACCGAGGTACCCCTGTAGTATTAAACCAAACATGTAATAAGTTGCAGCTTACCAACCATTAGATGTGGTGGCTGCATTAGTTTTTTTTGTTTTTTTAGGATTTCTTCCCTATTTTCATCTGGTGATCTGGCCAGTAACACACCTCCTGTATTAGAACACCCCACTCTGGATGTAGCAGCACAGGGGCACCTTTGTACAGCGGCATTGCCAGTCTGAGGGGAGTGTTAGATGTACTAGCAAATTTAACTAATAATTTAACAAATTGAAGCCAAGCTCCAGCTCACACTTTATAATCCGTTACAGAAAAACATTTTCTTTCCTTTTGGGATAACATGAATAAATCATGATCATTGTAAGCACCTTTCATTGGTATGTGGTTTGTCTCATCCACTGATTCATTCTGCTGGAGAGCTTGTTCTTTTGAAAAACAGACTTGCTGGATGGATTACCAGATGAAAATAGGGGGAGGGGGAGCCTAAAAAGAAAACAAATGCAATCTTGTCTCTAAATATCACCCAAACTGTACTCTCCGTTCCTCGTAAGACCTCCTACTCTCTAGCTCCCTTGTCTCCTCCTCCCATGCTTATCTCCAGGACTTCTCCAGAGCTTCCCCCATCCTCTGGAACTCTCTACCCCAATTTATCAGACTATTGCCTACTCTGCTCACTTTTAGGTGATCTCTGAAAACCCATCTCTTCAGTGAAGCCTATCCTGCCTTCAGCGAATACTGGAATCTTCTACTCTTCCAACCAGTCCATCCCCCACAGTTATTACCTTTTGTACCACTAGCCCCTCCCTCTTAGATTGTAAGCTCCGAGGATCAGGGCCCTCCTATCCCTCTTGTATTGAACTGTATTGTTGCTGTATTGTCTCCCGTTATATTGTAAAGCGCTGAGCAAACTGTTGGCGCTATATAAATCCTGTATAATAATAATAATAATAATATATAAATCCTTTATATAATAATAATAATAATATATAAATCCTGTATAATAATATAATAATAATAATAATATATAAATCCCATATAATAATAATATATAAATCCTGTATAATAATAATATATAAATCCCGTATAATAATATATAAATCCTGTATAATAATAATATATAAATCCTGTATAATAAAAAATATATAAATCCTGTATATTATAATGTATAATAATAATACAGTCATTACATCTAATAAATCGTAAACGTCCAGTATTTTGCTGTATCAGTGCCCCCATGTCCCTATGCCCAGTGTCTCCTGTGTCTATAAGGCGTCTTGCACATGGGACACCTAAAAAGGTCATATTTGTAGGTATTCAGGCATTTTTAGTTTTTTCTTTTCTCTTCTACTGATCTAAATGTACTCCATGGTTTTATTGGGCCTCTACGCAAAGGTATGTAAGTTTGTGCCGCATATAGATTGGTGAAAAAAAAAAAAATCCGTGTTGCAGTATTTTATACACATATATGTGCAAATACACTGGTACACCACACTCCCGTTATTAAAAAAAAAGCTAAAAGAATTTTTATGCATACGTAATTGCAATTACTCTCACGTTTATTTATTTCAGGTACTTATATAGCGCCGTCAATTTACACAGCACTTTACATATATATTGTACATTCACATCAGTCCCTAGCCCTCAAGGGGCGTACAATCTAAGGTCCCTAACTCACATTCATACATACACATACTAGGGACAATATAGACAGGAGCCAATTAACCTACCTGCATGTCTTTGGAGTGCGGGAGGAAACCGGAGTACCCGGAGGAAACCCACGCAGGCACAGGGAGAACATGCAAACTCCAGGCAGGTGGTGCCGTGGCTGGGATTCGAACTAACGACCTGAGTACTGCCAGACGGAAGTGCTAACCATTTAGCCACTGTGCCGCCCGTGTTCTCTACATCTTCAAGTTTTTTTTTCTTCCGGGAATATCTGGCACCATATGCTAGTACCCTGCAGATGTCTATAAAGAGCGATAATATTGCACCTTCCTGTACATACTGCATGCATGCTGTGTCTACTCTCTCTGTACTGTTGATGGACTGTATTGGTGTGATCTCTCCTGCCTTCTGTACAGGTGCTGTCTCTGGGATGTGGATTTGACTCCCTGTATTTCCGGATGTGCGGGAATCTTGGGGTGGAGGGAAGCACATGTTTCTGGGAAGTGGATTTTCCAGCAGTGGTGAAGCGGAAACGTCAGGTGATTGAAGGGACAGAGGACTTGAAGAAGATGCTTGGTGAGAAGTCTGACTACAATGGCTCTGGTGAGGATCATCAGGTCATATCTCTTTGTGCTTTTAATGTTCAGCTAAATTGGAAGAACAAAAAGTGGAATTGTTGCCTGTAGCAGCCAATCAAAATTCTTCTTCTAAATGTTGCATCAAGTAAAAGGTGGTGGGTTTTCATCGGTCACAGCTTCACTTTTCTGTTGACTCTTTCTCCAGTTTCAGTGGATCTGCCTCTTCTTGTCCTCGGTTTATAGTGCATCTCTTTCTTTTCCAGCACCAGGATATTCCGTCCTTCTCTCGGAGGATTACAAGCTCCTCGGTGTGGATCTTGGTGATATTGCTGCCCTGGATTCTGCATTGGATAGTGCTGGGTTGAGATGGAATTGTCCCACTCTTGTACTAGCAGAGGTAGTTCTGTGCTACATGGATCCCACCAGGTAGGTGCAGATACTGAAACTATAGACCCTGGTCATCCTTCACCATCGCACTAAAAGGAATTCTGTAATATTTGTCACTGAAGCCACCATGACTTGAGCTCCGGGAGGGGCTTCTTTCCAGAGACTATGGACCCAGGACTAAGAGAACCCCCTCTTGGGGTTACAAGAAGTCCTTTCCCCAATCACTTCCCTAGATATCTGGCTGGCTGGGAATTATACCATGCAATTAGGGCTGGAGGGACCGTTTGTGGGACCCCTTGGCATACTGTGCATAGTGGAACTATTATCCTGGAGCAATGTGTTACGTGCAGGGGGTGATTCCAGCATATGTGAGGTTATGAGTTTATTTTCTGTTACAGGTTTCCTGGTATCTGTTATTGTTTGCTGTAAGTAGGTTTTGGTGATAAGCTTTCACTTTGTTTAATCACCTCCAGGGTTCGGACGACTAGGTGCCAGGAAGGAATCTATTGGTTTTTTTGTGCTTGATTGTTTATTTATGTAATGTATTTTTTTCCTGGGATTTGTAATGTGTGCCAAACCTGTCTAGGGGGAAGGTTTTTGTGTATAAATGCTGTGCTGTTTGGTAATAAAATCAGTCCTTTTTTACTCCCACATTGGCTCTGTCTAAAGCTTGGGGTAAATTTTCTATCTACAGTCCTAACCTAATATACTGGTCTTGTCTGGTAATTATGGAGGTCTGTTCTGAAATTGTTATATTCTGGTTCCAGACTGAAGGAAGCTGTAGTTTGGCGTAGATACCCAGTTGGGGTGTCAGGCAGTCCATTCCAATGTTAATCCCCAAACTATGCCCACCCATAATTGCAGTTGTGCAGATTTCATAGGTAGACCTGGATGAAGAGTTGTATAAATGTCCCTATATTTGTGTATTCTGTACTATAAATCCATTTTAGGGGAAGGTAAATATGTGCTGTATGTTAGGATCAATGTTGGGTTGGGTGAGTATATGATGGGGCCGATTATCTTAGAATAAAGAGTTGGGCTCAATATATACTATAGGGTAGGATTGTAGAGTTCAGGTTGACTTAGGATGAGTATGTGCTATAGGGTTAAAATGATACTAAACACACACTGTTTAACCACTTGCCCTCCAGAGGATTACCCCCCCCCCCCCTTCCCCCCCCTGACCAGGCCATTTTTTTTGTGACACGGTGTTGCGTTACTTTATCTGACAAGTTTTTTTTTTTTTTTTTTTTATTAAATGTTTTACTAGGACTTATAGCTGGACTGCGGCAGGCATTCTGACACTGGGGGGGAACTGACTTGGTGTCACTGACATCCCCAGTGACACCAATACAGTGATCAGTGCTAATAAAAAGCACTGACACTGTACTAATGGCGCTGGGCAGGAAGGGGTTAACATGGGACGATCAAAGGGTCAACTGTGCGCTGTTTCACTATGAGGCTGTGTTTCACTGTAAGCACACTGCTTTGTATGACTCTGCTATGCTAAATGGTTGCGCGGGTAGGCCCCCTACTCGGAACTGCAAAAAGTGTGTGCGTGTGTTAAATAAATATATAATGTGATTTTGTGCACCCATGCTGCCCTGTAGCAGTATTTCTGCTATAGGGTGGCGCAGAAGCGGTTAATTTACATTATCTCTTCGATTTCTGTATATGAGTGATGGCACTGTAATTTATTTTACTTAAAAAAAATCAATATACAGCAGTCACATGACCCAGATCTTTCCCAGCCTGTCTGCAGGTAGTTATAAGCAGGAGGAGCTTCTAGGCGTCTGCTGCTGGTCACATGTTCAAAACAAAAAAAAAAGGGATGTAGGCTTCTGGTATGGAGAGTGAGAATTGGGGTTATTAGGGTATGGTGAAGGGTTGGGGGTAGAGTTTAGAATTACTATGTGCTGTAAAGTTCTATGCATGCTTTCTCCAGGGGTCTCTCTCTCCCCCTCTCTCTCTCTTCCCCTCTCTCTCCCTCTCCCTCCCTCCCCCCATCCCCCCTCCCTCTTCCCATCTCCCCCCCCCCTCTCTCTCCCTCCCCCTCCCTCCCCCCTCCCTCCCCCCTCTCTCCCCCCTCCCTCCCCCCTCTCTCTCCCCCCTCCCTCCCTCTCCCCCTCTCTCTCCCCCCTCCCCTCCCCCCTTCCCTCTCTCCCTCTCTCAAGGGGTCTCCTCCCTTCCCTCCCCCCTTTCTCTCTCCCTCTCTCTCCAGGGGTCTTCCTCCCTTCTCTCTCTCCCTCTCTCCAGGGCCCCCCTCTCTCTCTCCAGCCCCCCCCCCTCTCTCTCTCTCTCTCTCTCTCTCTCTCTCTCTCTCTCTCTCTCTCCAGACAGGGATCTTCCTCTCTTCTCTCCCCCCTCCCTGAGGCCTGTCCCCTTCTTCCCCCCTTCTCTCTCCATCTTCCTCCCTTCTCTCTCCATCTTCCTCCCTTCTCTCTCCATCTCCCCCCCTTCTCTCTCCATCTTCCTCCCTTCTCTCTCCATCTTCCTCTCTTCTCTCTCCATCTTTCCTCCCTTCTCTCCCCATCTTCCTCCCTTCTCTCTCCATCTTCCTCCCTTCTCTCTCCATCTTCCCCCCTTCTCTCTCCATCTTCCTCCCTTCTTTCTCCATCTTCCTCCCTTCTCTCTCCATCTTCCTCCCTTCTCTCTCCATCTTCCTCCCTTCTCTCTCCATCTTCCACCCTTCTCTCTCCATCTTCCCCCCTTCTCTCTCCATCTTCCCCCCTTCTCTCTCCATCTTCCTCCCTTCTCTCTCCATCTTCCTCCCTTCTCTCTCCATCTTCCTCCCTTCTCTCTCCATCTTCCTCCCTTCTCTCTCCATCTTCCTCCCTTCTCTCTCCATCTTCCTCCCTTCTCTCTCCATCTTCCTCCCTTCTCTCCCCATCTTTCTCCCTTCTCTCCCCCTCCCTATTCTAGAAGCTTTCACAAATTTGCAGAGTTGATTTCATGTCCAGGGACACCTGGAAGTACTATTGCGGATGGCTGACCAACTACTAGTTGGATAGACTCATGATCTTGAACTCACAAGTTTTGTTATGCTTTTGTTTAACCCCTTCCTGCCCAGAATCCCTTTTTAGAGCTCCTTCACACTAGATTTGGTCTCTGAAGAGCGATCTGTGTTCAGATCACTCTTCAGAGAGCATGTGGCAAGCAGCAAGGAGGTGTTGTATCACCTTCTCACCACCTGCTTTACCCACTTGCCCTCCAGAGGATTTACATCCCCTTCCTGACCAGGCCATTTTTTTTTCGATATGGCGCTGCGTTGCTTCAACTAATAATTGCGTGGTCATGCAACGCGGCACCCAAATTAAATGTATGTCCTTTTTTTCCCACAAATAGAGCTTTCTTTCAGTGGTATTGGATTGCCTAGTGTTTTTTGGGGGTTTTTTTACACTATAAAAAAAAGGAAAAAAAGACCGACACTTCTGAGAAAAAAAAAACATTTTTGTCTTCTTTGGTAAATCCTATAATAGTGCTGCGCATATAACCCTTTATACTCATAATCTCCTACGTACATCAAAAACACGTTACCTCACATCACGTGACTTCCTCAGGAGTTCCTGAGAACGCATGTCTCTGGTGGAGGAGTAACTTTAGGAATATATGTGGACACAAGGAATAAAGAGCACCTGTTTGGCACAGAATCATATACACATGGATAAAACCAAATATGAAGTTGGGGTCATTGCATTCACAATTGTTTAATAATCACATGTTTTTGATGTATGTAGGAGATTGTATATGAGTCTATAGGGTTATATGCATGGCACTATTATATGATATAGCTATTTGTGTGTGGAAACGCATGCAAGTGTCAGCAGCACTAGGATACACAGGAGGTTGGTGATTTTTTTTTTTTTTTTACACATTTTTGACTTTTTGCTATAAAACCTGTCCTGTAAAAAAAATTTTAATAATCAAATGTCATCATAAATTTAGGCCAGAATGTATTCTACTACATGTCTTTGCTAAAAAAAAAAAATCTCAATGCATGTAAATTAATTAGCTTACATGAAAGTTACAGCGTTTTGTTATGGCGGTGTATATGTACTGGGATGTTTTTGAGGGTTTTTTACTATTAATGGCGGCGATCAGTGACTTATAGCAGGACTGTGGCTGGCATTTTGACACTAGGGGGAACTGACTTGGTGTCACTGACATCTCCAGTGACACCAATACAGTGATCAGTGCTAATAAAAAGCACTGACACTGTACTAATGACACTGGGGCAGGAAGGAGTTAACATCTGGGGCGATCAAAGGGTTAACTGTGTGCTGTTTTACTGTGCTGTGTGTTATTCATTGTAAGCACACTGCTATGCATGGCTCTGCTATGCATTGCAGTGTGCAGGAGCTGACAGGGGAGAGAACTATATTGATTACTTACAGTTCTCTCTCTCCATCGGTAATCCTCCTCAGTCACCGGGTACCGTTGAGTAATCACCGTCCGGGACCCAGTGATTGACAGCCTAGGCCGCTAATGACGGCGCGGGTAGGTCATGCACGCCCCCAACCCTAAATGCAAAATCACGTGTGTGTGTGTATATATACAGTACATGATTTTGTGTGCCTGTGACGCCCTGTGGCAGTATTCCTGCTATAGGGCGGACGGGAAGCAGTTAACCCCTGGAGCACCACATTAGCACACACCGCAACCGTATACATTGCATGCAGTTGTGAGGTGCTTGCAGAGCAACCCCATTCACTTGACTAGAACACAGTTATCAGGCACTATGCCCACAGAAAGCAACAGAGGGGATCATTTTTGTCATGGCCATGAAACAAAGAATCACAGTGGCTGCATGTTGCCAACCGTCTGTAAATTTACAGATGGTTTGTAAAAAAAAACAGGCACTCTTCTCCTGTCCATAAATGCGGAGCCCTAAAAAACCCCTTGTCATCAGCTCTGAACTGCACATGCACAGTTATGGAGCCATCCTATTAGAGAATTGCTGAGCTCTGCCTCCGATCAGGCAGCAGGGCAGGTCCGGGTGTGGGCAGGTCCAGGTCCAGGTGTGGGTGGGTCCGGGTGTA